ACCTAGTAGCGATGGCCTCCAACCTAATAGCGATGGCCTCCAACCTAATATTCTCCTTTGTTTTCAGCGAGTTTCTTCCTTTGTACATGTTCGCCAGGCTCCTTTTTGCAAAGCAACAGTCTACAGTAATTGAAGCCGTGCCGCTGTTCCCCTCCTCCACACGCTTGGGGGAGATGACGGAATTCCATGGGATCCAACAGAGGTTCCTCTTATAGGACTGTGGTCCATAGGAGGGCTGCGGCGCGGGAAACACAAAACGGTTTCCCAGATTGTCGAGCATTGGTCTTGAGCATTGCCAAAACCGCCCTTTTTCGTCTTTGAGCCAAGTGCCATCCATGACAAAACTGCAAGTGCCAAGACTCAGCAAGGACTGCAGTTTCTGTGAACAGCATCACTTCGATTGTTTTTGGCTGTTGACAAAACGGTACCACCAGAACTTTGGAGGACGTCCACTAATTAATCCTGTGTCCTTTCCTTACAATCTTCGTTCTTCCCCATATTTGCCACATTCCTTACAGAAGCTTACTCCTTCCAATTCCTTTTACATTCCAATTCCATGTCCTTTCTTCTTTCCTAATCTTCCTTCAACTTTTTCAGGAACGCTTTCACTTTCTCGAAAACCCGGTGGCCTTCACCTACCCCTGCTGACGCAACGAGCTACGCAACAAGCATCGCCTCATCACTCACCTTGGACGCCTCAATTGCAACTGCGACTGAGACATACTGAGACTGCAGAACACTGTATGCCACTGACAAACGCAATTGCGACTGGTTTTTTTTGAAGAAATCTGTGTCCATCTGTCTCACAAGAGGAATCTGTGAATTGGAATAAGCATTTTCTGTATGGCAAATATGTGGTTCGATACGAGGCTTGAAAGCTACTCTGGGTGCCTCCTTTTCGATCTGTAGAGACTTCGAAAAGTTATGCCACCGCTGCAAAGCGCCCACAGGCACCCATTCCCATACTAGTAAGAACCCCTATAGCTCGCGCGATCTGCGGAAAAAACAAACACATCCCACAATACTCGCACGTACGCGTAGGTCGTACGTTCTCTGCACTCGTAAGAAATGCTCGATGACGCACCACACCCCGCACCCACCTCGTCATCCTTGGCCATTCGGTCTCTGTCCTGAAGAAATACTCACGCTTGATTTGTGGAAAGTAAACTGATTTACTTTCAAACGAAGGAGGCCATTGTATAAACGGTGCGGAATTTTCAAAGTGGCTGCGAAATCCCGCCTGAAAGGAATCGCCAAAGTCGTCGCCCCAGGAATCTGAAGCATCCTGAACTTCACCAAGAGCTCTGAAGCGAAAAAGAATGCAACGCGATTGAACAGCTCACCACGCAAGTACAGCGCACCAAGTCAATCGACATGTCGACAAAGGACAGCCTCCGAGTTCGATGAGCCTCCAAAGAATTCGCTGGATCGCTCCTTCGACAAAATGTCTGTCGCTGCCACGTGATTTCTGCACAAAAAGGGACTTTTGCCAAAAAACAGGTATTTCTTGCAGTGTTCGTCCCTAATCCCGCCTCAGAGTCCCCAGAGGATCCGTAGAAGTCACGAGATGGTTCCTGTCGAGGCTTGGTCAAAACTCGCTGCCCTTTGATTTCTGATGACCATCTAGAAGGTTCTGCAGGCTAAACCAATCACATCTCAACCAAGTGTGAACCGAACATGTCATGAAAGGCGTTGGCAGTGACCTTGTTGGGGTGGAGTGTTGCCATCACGAAAGGAATGAGAACGTCCGCAAAGAGCCAGGTGGTTTCGCATCTATAAATATATATATATGTGTGTGTGTGTGATTTTGCAAAAAGCTTGCTATTAGGTTCCTTTTGCTAGTAGGTTGGAGGTCATCTCTCTCAGGTTGGAGGCCGTCGCTATTAGGTTCCTTTTGCTATTAGGTTTCGCATCTTTGCAGAAGAACCTGAGGATTTTGCAGAAAGCTTGCAATGAGTTGTGAACAAAGGCCAACACCCAAAGGCATGCGGCATAGGCATGAAGTAGAGTAGCCGCTAGTGAAGGTGCGGCCAGAGGGGGCCCTGCCGTATCTTATGAGTTCAAAAGTCAATGCCGGATCTGCAGGTTGGATTGAATAGTGTTTTTTTTCAATAATGAACTGTATGACAATAGTGAGTGCCTCTTTTTGCTAGGAATCCTGCCCATAAACTCCTTCAACGTCAAAGGTCAATTTCATCTTGGCTGTGGCAGAAAAATCCGTTCCACTCTATAATTGGTCTTCCCTTTGCTTAGTTTGTCCCTTTTTTGATCGATTGTCCCTTCCCCGCGCGGTTGAATTTCATTTTGACTTGCTTTTACCCTTTTCTGAAGAGCTTGATGTCAGAAAGCTTTCAAGCTTTCGGAAGCGGTGTTAGTTTATGGAGCCGATTTCAAGAATCTAACTATAGTAAAGAAATGTAAAGAATAAGCTCGATGTCCCCTTGCTCTTCTTGTCATCATCATCTCCTTTTTCCAATATGCGTTCCCCTTCTCTCTTCTTGGTTGTCTTTCCTTCTTCTTGTGAGCCACACAGAATTCAAGACCTACGCCAAGCTTTAAAAATCATATCCATATTGCCCCGGCCTGGCAACAAAAAGGATACATATTGAAATTGTGCAGATCTGCACACAACATGTACCCTGTGAGACTTCAAATACAGGGAATGTTACAGTAAATAGCACCATCTGCACCATCTCTAAAATGAACTTCCGCAACCCCCTGTTGTATAAAAGATAAGCATCTCCTGACTTGTTCAGTTCAAGGAAAAGACATTCTAAAAGAAGGTATGCAAACATACAAACATTTGGATGTTCACAAATGCACACAGTTGGTGGGAGGCCGGTATGAAGAGGCTTAAGCTAAGTAAGGGAGTAAGTAGGTAGCTGGACGCAGGAAAGTTCAGGCTTGCACTATTCATTTGGTCCTAGTTTTGGGTGAAAATTAAGTTTGATAGAGTGTTGGACGCAAAAACGAACGAATTCTCCCTGCCTCATCTGAGTATCGAGAGCGCCTCGAATCGATTGAATCACCGTAGGAATCCTCGCCAAATGAATCTCCTTCCTGCAAGGATCACTCGGTGAACGGCCATGCAACCAAGTGGATTGAGGAACTCAACAACACCAATCTCAAAAGGATTCCTTCTCTTCAGCGCATCACTGTGTATGTTATGCGGCTATCTAACTAAATATAAACAATATAGATATATAATCATAGATTGTATAGTTTGTCGCAATCAAGAGCGCAGATTGGGTCTGACTGGCTGGTGATTTTTTTCGTCAAACCCAGCATGCCTCATCAGAGTATCCAGAGCCGTCAGAACCATAGAAGTCACGAGATGGTTCCTGCCAAGTGTAAAAGAGCTGGCAAATGTGACCAAACAGTTCTCGAACATGTCAAGCAATTTGTTGATTTGTGCTGCAGTTTCAAGACAACAACAGGTCAACACTGCTTTTGAAGCCTGCATCAACTTCAGATAGAAACAACTCCATCAGACATGTATCTAAATATAGTTCTGATGTCACCCTTGTGTTCCAAGAGCCCTCAGAACTATTTTAGCATTCTGTCAAACCAGCGACCAAACTCATCGTGCCTCATCGGAGTATCGAGAGCGCCTCGAATCAAAGGAACTGTCGTAGGAACTGTCGCCATAGAAGTCTCCTCCTTCCTGCGAAGTGGACCATGTGGATCGAAAGCAGGACCGGAACAAAGCTGTCAAACCCATGCGCAACAGTGCGAGTACCAAGCAAATCCGCCCACACTGAAAGTGTTGGAGTGCATTCATCGCTATATAGTTGTAGCTAAGGGCGGCCTTTTCGTTCGAGAACGAAAATGCATATCCTGAATCACGAGGTGTGTATGGGAGAGGAGTGGAAGTGGAAAGAACATGGAAAACCAAATGGTTTTCACACGTCATCTATAGTCTGTTTGGATATATGTTTCATTGCCGTATCATTTGCATCACCGGGTCCATGAAAGGCAAAGACTGACTCCTCTCAGTCTGTCATCATAAATCTTTCATGGGTGCATCATATGCATCAAAACTGGTTGCAATTTATTATATTATAGTTTTTCCTGATGTCATATGGATCAGCTGGTTGCAACTGCATCGTGTACTGCACCAAATGCCTGCAAGCTAATACAGTCTGGACCCCTGCAAAAGTACAGTTGCAAGGCGGTCGAAAATATATCAACGATGCTTGGAAGTTGCAAGTAAGACATAATTATACCGCATTAAGTATACTTTTCAAAAGCCTCCAGCTGTTTGGATCCTCCTTTTGTCCTCCTGTTGTCCTTCTCTTGTCCTCCTCTTGTCCTCCTCTTGTCCTTCTCTTTTCCTCCTCTCTCCTCTTGTCCTTCTCTTGTCCTTGTCTTGTCCTCTTCTTGCCTCTTGTCCTCCAGTTGTCCTCCCTCTCGCCGCGCTGGCGAAACCTGAGTCCTTCTCTAGTCCTCCTGGAGTCCTCCTCCTGCTTCTATTCCCACGTTTGCAACCCGTGTGTGTCCTCCTCTTCCTCTTCTGGTCCTTTGTCCAGGTCTGCCTGTCTTTCTTGTCCACGGTGTCGGCCCTTTTATCAACGCCTTGTCCCGGCCTTGTCCCCTGCTTGGCCACGACAAGAGGAGGAAAAGAGAAGGACAACAGGACAACAAGAGGAGATCAAGAGGAGAACAATGAGAACAAGAGGCAGACAAAAGGAGGACACAGGGTTGGCCAGCACCAGCCAGTGTGGCCAGCTCTTTTTTCCTAAGAGAGAACCCCAACAGTATGGGGAACCAAACAATTTGTAAGAGGGTCAAAAAGTTGGGTCTTGCCTCGATCATACACATTGCAAAGCTTATTGTACATACTCTATTTTTCGACTCCCTTAAGCCTTAGTCATACCAGCATGGACCCCAAACAGTTTCAAAACGATTCGTTTGGACTAATGTCAATCAAAAACAATGTCTTGGTACACCCTACCTTCCCCCCGCAAGAGTAACTGCTTCATAAATGACTTTTGTCGGCATCGACATCGCCATCGCTATTTGTTCGGCCACACTCCTCTCCAGATGTTGACCATATTCGTGCAAAAATTGACAATGTCCACTGCGTCTCACGGGCACTTATCGGGCGCCACATCTATCAACAGTATGAGACGGGCCCCTACGCGAACCCGCTTCTTTCGCGGGCACCCCATTGGACGTCACTCAGCACCCTGAATCACCCGGCCACAGAGTTCAGGGGTGCGGCCAGTCAGTGTGGCTGGCTCTTCTTTTCCAAGATAGAACCCAACAGTAAACTGTTCTCCCCCTCAAGCTGCACGATCGCAGGCCCGGACTAACGCCTGACCGGCAAACTACGAACGAAATGAGCGAGCGAAAAGGTTTCAAGGCATGCACGAACCAAAATGCGGAAACAGCCTCTAAGAGGGCGTGCATCAACACAAAGTGACCCAATTAATCCGGGAAAGTACTACGAAGTGGTCCCTTAGCGGGAAGCTTTGCAAGAAAAGCCTGGAAGGCGGAAACCGCAGCGTGCTCAAAAAACACACCTGGCCCCAATACCAGAGGCGCGAAAACAAGCGCCAAGACCTGACAGGGATCTCGAGAAGGCCACACGATTGGCAGGGAACACGGACGATCCAAGGTTTTTCTCAAAGGTCCTAACCGCGTTAGCCATCATACGAGTCTGAGCGAAGATAGGGACAGGCTTGGCCATTTCATTACCTCATTACCTTTAACACTCCTTACGCAATAGGCCGATCTGGAACTGTTCTTACCTCCAGCACTCAAGCCCATATCAAGGCCAGAATAATTACGAAAGTTCCAAACAAGCGCAAGCCACGAAATGTTGCAAAGCCGAGGAGACTTAACATTACTGCTCCATTTCAAGCAACGAATCCACTGCCAAAGCTTTTCCAGTGTAGATGGAATCATCAAGTGAGTCACCCAACGGCGCGAGAGCGGGTAAGCGAACCACTCGCAAGAATGCCAACACACGCAAGTCGTCAGAACGCAACGTTCCAACTTCTTTGGAAGGAGAGCCCTTCTTATTTTGGAGAAAGGTTAAAGCACACCTGGCGTGAAACTCTGCAAGTTGAGTGGCAAAGTATTGTAGAAAAACGTGCAATTACAAGGGTGCTCGAAAAATACATCCCACAATGCTTGCAAATTGCAAGTAAGACATTAAAAACTAAAGTAAACGATTTATCAGTGTATTATATAGAGAGAGACTTCATTTTACCCTCTCTCTGAGAGCCACTGGTGCGGCGGGTGGTTGTCGTCGTTGACAGTCAACCAGTTGCTGGACAGCTGGAGTCATAGACTGCTCCAAGAACCACAACCAAGCACATCAAAATCCATCGACTTTTGTCTGAGTCGGCAACGAACGAATTCTCCCTGCCTCGTCTGAGTATCGAGAGTGCCTCGAATCGATTGAATCACCGTAGGAATCACCATACGAATCACGCTCCTGCAGCGTCGCGGTTGATCGACCAAAGCACCGAGTGAAGCCTTGTACAAAAGTGATTGTAAGTACTTCCATGAGTATTTCCGGCAATGTTTGGATTCAACAAAGCGCATGTCACTTCAGCACGGAGCATTAAAAACGAAACCGTGATGTATGTGTTTGTGTGTCTTACTGAGAAATAAGATACAAATAATGTTTTACAAATCAAAAGAAATGGTGTCTAAACAGTCAAGCAGTATGAGTCACGGTCAGTGCGTCACGACGTCGGAAACTCTTGGACTTGCCTCGTGAGACCTCGATTGAGACCGCTCCTGAAGATCAAAAACCACAAAGAGACAAAAATAATGCAAAACAAAACATACATAAACAGTTTATAAACCGTTTATATTGTCTAAGCTATATTGAGATCTATTGAGCACTAAATAGAACTTAATTAGAATCCCCCGAAGTCGACACAAGGGTGATGTCAATCCCCCCAATGATCGGTGAAGAAAAGCGAAGCACATTGCTTTCGCCGTAAGGGTTGAAGTCCGGACTAGTCACGAACGAAGCCAAGTCAATTCAATGAACACATTGGATGTGTTGGGCCTTGTCAAAGGGACCATTATTTTATTGTAAATCTCTTTCTTCTTTCACTTTCTCTTGATCGTGGCATTACCTTCTTTGCAACTCATTGCTCGCACCTGGCCAAAGTCTCTGAACCAGGGCTTCTCAGTCGGTGGCAATGTCGTGTCCTGCCGACAAAGACTTGAAAATGATGCGAAAGATTCCTGGACGCGCTACTAGGAGGGAGGCCATCGGTAGTAGGTTGGAAGCCATCGCTACTAGTAACAAGAAGCGACTAGTAACAAAGGGCATCGCTACTAGGAGCAAGGACACTACTAGTAGCTCCTGGCATTACGACTAAAGGCCATTGCGCATCGATGTTAGGCCCTTGAGATTGCCGATTCTGTGAATGGCGCCACAATCGACAGAGCCAGACGAAGACTCTCTCTTTTGGACGCCTGGTGAGTCATCTTGCGTGACCTTTACCTGTACGGATCACCAAGCACATGCAAATCTCTCCAATTCTCTAACACCTCTCTGGGTGTCAGTACTAAGGCTCCCAAAATCTTCTTTGGAAGAGCAAGAAGGAATAGTCGAACCACTGCTGCTTCTGCATAGGCATCATTCGAGAGAGAGAGAGAGAGTTAACCATATCAGCAAACGGCCTCAAGACTCAATGTCAATTTGACTTTTACTGGCAGGTCAGTGTTCATGCTTTGGCATCCCTGAACTCTTATCTTTGTCAAGCCTCAACTTGGTAGCATCTTGCAAGATAATGAGTTGCATGATCAATTGTAACTATATAGTCCATAGTCCAAAAACTGTCTGTCCATGGAAACCTCGACAGTTTTACTCATTTCTCTTATACAACTGCGTCGCCTTGCCGTGCCCTTCAGGCACCGCCCCAGGCCATGCCCGCCATCTTGCGGTTCGCTGCCAGGACCACCTCCGCTGCCTTCACCACACCCCCTGAAGCAGAGAGCTCCACACGCAGCGCATCCAGCGACTCACGGACGGAGGGCATCATCAGTTGATCCACCGCCTCCACAAAACACATAGCTGTGGCCGTTTCTGAGGCCTCCGGCCTCCTCAAAGCTGTTTTGATGCACTCTGACTCTGTCAGAACTTATTGATTGCATGTTCTACAATCTGTGGAGCCTATGCAGGTCAAAATCGAGTTTCTTCCAAATAGTTCCGCGAGGAATCATTACGAACCAAATGAAGATATTAACTGTCCTGGTGTCATTGAAGAGGACAAATTGACAAAGCTAGGGGCCAGCAAACGTTTGTCAATCGCAAAAGTAAACAAGGTTTGGGTTGGAAATGCGATTGAACATGCGACAATTGATGCGTCGAATTGCTCTTCACTCTGAATCTCATTCTTCCACTCTTAATCTACATTCGCTATCATTCGCTATTAGGTTGGAGGCCATCGCTATCAGGTTGGAGGCCATGACTAGTAGTAACAAGAAGCTACTAGTAACAAAGGGCATCGCTACTAGGAGCAAGGACGCTACTAGTAGCTCCTGGCATTATGACTAGTAACAAGAAGCTACTAGTTACTAGTCTTCGGCATTCTTCGTCCATCGCCTCCTTCAAGGCGGTCGGATTTAAAGTCTCCAGTGGGTGACGGAAGGAGATCCCGCAGCCCGTCTTTGCCACGGTGTCGGCATTCACGGGCTGATCACCAAAGATGGGAATCACCACCATAGGAACACCTAAGATATGGTGAAAAAATAAAACATGTGTAAAACATGTTTAAACAATCTCACAGGTTAGGACGGTTAGGAGAGAAAGGCAATGGCGTCTTCAGGCTCACGTTCCAAGGCACCAAAGCTCAAAGCCTCGTGCACACTGTTGGCACCTCCATGGGTGACAAAGACATTGCACTTCTGCAACAGCTCCAGCTGCGGGAGCGACTGCTGGGCCACCAAGTTGCTCGGGAGCTCCAAACACTCAAGGGCATCCTGAGCAAGGCCCATACCAACCAAAACAGTAAAAGGAAATACACAAACAGTCACAAGACGCTACTAGTAACAAGACGCTACTAGGGACTCCTGGCATCGCTACTAGGGGCAAGGACGCTACTAGGGGCTCCTGGCCTTACTACTAGGTGCAAGAACGCTACTAGGAGCTTTTTCGCGCGCGCGGGGCGCGGGGGGGTAGAGGAACAAATCAAATCAAAACTCTGTCATCCTCTCCTTGTGAGCCGTGCTGACCACGATCAGCATTTCATCATCACCTCCAAAGGCTTCGAACACCGTCCGAAAGAGCAGCTGAACAAACTCCTTTCCAGTGCAGTCATCGAGGCCATTGGAAAACGCCTGGCGGCAAATGGCGACAGGTTCACAATGGCCCTTAGGGCTGAAGCGAAAAAACATTGTACATTGTAGTAGACATATTAACACATTAAAACCATCCCAGAATATTAAGCGTAAGAGCGCAGGGTAGTCAGACCATGTCAGACCCCACAAATCGGGTTGGGCACAGTGTTCTCGACGTCGTGCCTGGGGGCCGAACTTGGTGCTCCAAAAGTGCCCGGTCGCCACCGTCCCAGCAGACAGGTACAAAATCTTCTTGCCTGCGACGTGGAGAAAAGCATGCAGCGTTCTTTCGCCGAACCTTGATATGTCTGGGTATGCTCCAAGCATCCACAAAAATACATAACCAATCATAACCATCTGCTCTTTTTTGGTTTGGAAACCTGTTTTTGGTTCGCCTGCGGCAATGGCTGCGTCCACCTCAGGCGGCAGCGTGGGCACAGTGCCACCAAGCTCCGCATTGGAGAGCCGCAAAATCTTGGAATTCAGCAAGGGCCCGACACGTTCCTGGAACAAGAACCAAAACAAGTAGAATTTATCATAAATCAGAAGCCATCTTCAAGAAAAACACAATAAATAAATGAGATATGTACCAGCAAAACATCGCACCCTTGAAACCCAAATGTGACTTAAGCCAAAACGAACAAACACACAAGCCTTGAAGCTAAACAGATGCTCGAAATTCTCTTAAACTGAGCTTCGAAAGGGAAGTTCCCAAAGCGTTCGAGCTGTAGTGGGGTCTTGGGGCCAGTATAGAGAGAGTCACAAGTGGAGACAATGTTTTGATGCGGGGAGTAGAACTCCAAGAAGGAGCCGTGCTCGAAAACGTCCAAGTTGTAAAGGTCTTTCAGTTCTTGCCATGCTCTCTGAGAGACTCCGTTCCTTGGCGCCGTGTGACAAACAGTAGACATACCGACATACCTGTTACCTGCTAGTAGCGATGCCCGTCGCTCGTAGCGAACATTGTTCCTACTAGTGCCAGGAGCCCCTAGTAGCGTCCTTGCCCCTAGTAGCGATGCCAAGAGCCCCTAGTAGCTTCCCTGCCCCTAGTTGCTTCTTGCTTAAAAAATAAAAACAGAAACGAAAATCCAAAACATGTCAAAGTGTCGATTCCCATTTCTGTCGTACTGGCGGAGGTACCTGTAAAGAGCCAACTGCAAGCTTTGCCACTTCTTTGGTGCAAAGATGTGCAAAGCGTGTTGTAAAACTTGTTTGTGTGTTTCTTGGGTGAGAGCTAGCTAGTCACAGGCAGATCTTCAGGCTTCTGATCAAAGCGATACCATGTAATTGTATAATGTAGCTGTTCAACAAGAGTAAATCCACCGGTGTACTCTCAAGTGGACACGGTTGCAAGGTGTCTAATGGCTCGGTACTTTGTAGACGACCAGGAATTCTATTAGTTGTTTTTTTTGTGACAATCGATCATCATTCTCTCCGTCCCACAAAAGCCTTCCACCGTGACTGCGGTGCAAGGATGTTGGGAAACTTCATGAAACGATGGTGTGATGCAGGGCAGGTTGGTAGCACAATATCAACGATATTCTCAAGAGCCGGAAATCGGTTCTTGCACGAGGAGCCTAGAAGCAGGTACAATTTTGATTTTGTTTCATCTCGGCCTCGATAACACCAGGTCCGGCAACTGTGACGGTACCCACACAGGGGATGCCCAGCTCTTGTGCCGCAACCAAGCCCTTGGTTTGGCTCGAAGAAAGCGACGGACAAAAAGCAGGCGGAAAAAACATCTAAGACATGTCAGAAAAACAAAATAAATGAAAAGAAAGAAGATGGAAGAAAAGCAATTAAAAAGGATAGGTGTTCAGATGTATTCGGTCGACATTCCAGACCTAAGACCTTAGAAGACAGCATTCCAATGCGTTTCATCAACACCAAGGTGATACGAAGGACTTTTATAAAAAGAAGGAAATCCATTTAAGGGCTTCTCTTGAAATTGACATAAGGTGGGCACAAAATCTGAAGTCTGCTAAGGTGCTATGGGTAAGAACGGGTCGTAGAGGATAACACTCGGTGGTGGCTTCAGGGCTCGCAGCTCTTGGATAAGCTGCGGTGCGCAGGACCTCGATTCGTAAGGCGACTTACACAGCCAATTCTAGTCGCCTCAGTAGAAAGCTTTCAATTCAAGGAAGATAAAGGAAATCAAAACGTGGTCTACAAGTGAAGGGAAGATATACAAAGAAGACAAATAGAAGATAGAAGACATACGCAAACCTTCTCTGCTTTCAACGGGACGGGTGTACAAGACCTGTAGGTTGGACCTTGAGTCCCGCCGTGTGTCCGGTTGTGTCCGATTGTCGGTCCGGTCTGTATATTGGTGACAGGCACTGAAAGCAACATCTAACAAGAGTCGAAGCAGAAGCAGAAAGTTAGGATGAAGATATGCAAACTTTACGGAAAAAATTGAAACACTGCTTTTTCTTGGAGCGACGCAGAGAAGACCAGCACGGACATGGGAAACTCGTAGTCCTCCTTTGCAGCATCCGGTGGGACATACTTTGCGAGTTGCTCTTCGGTGAGATGCTTGGGGTCCTGTCTTCGCTCATCGGACACTCGAGTCCAACGCGATTTCTCTGTTGTATTTCACTGCACAATGAAAAAGTAGCAGCTTAAAATTGCAATCTTCAAAATGAATCAGATCAGTGTGAGTGTCACAGGGACGGGTCCTGGAGGGCGCGCCATGTGGCACCCGTCGCTTCAACCACTTCTCGCACTCTTTCGTTCACAAAGTAAGTCACCGGAATGTTTCGCGCAGTGAGTTCTCTGGCCAGCGGCAGCGTGGGGTTCATGTGCCCCGTAGCGGGAAAGTTGATGAAGACCACGTGCCTCAGAAACAGAAATAACCGTCCAACATGTTCATGTCCGACAAATGTGAAAGATGATCAAAGTCATTCTCGTAGCAGTCAATGGATTCCATTTAGCGGCGGGGGATTTGCCAGCCGAAGTGTCGGGGCAAGAACTAGCAAGAACTGCTGGAATCATTACACGACTTCTGTGGGCATTGAAGCAGGTGAGATGACATACACTGTGGACATCTGTGGACTACATAAAACTCCCATGCCACCACTGGTCACAGTCACCTGTCCTCCAAAGGGCATGGGACCTTTGCCGAGTAACCATAGGTTGAGTCTACCCAGGTCCCTAACTAGCCGAAGACATCTGTGATTCAAAAAATGTAATTTTGGGTAAGCATAATCACCCTCTTATTGTTCCTAGTAGCTTCTTGTTCCTAGTAGTAAGGCCAGGAGCGCCCCTAGTAGCGTCCTTGCTCCTAGTAGCGATGCCCTTTGTTCCTAGTAGTAAGCATAGTCTGGTGGAGGATCCTTCCACCAAGCCACTGCTCCATGACAAACTCCGCGCTCTGAAAAACTCTTCCAAGGAGCCGAGATGGGCTGCAGAAACCCCGAAGAAGGCGCACAGAACAAGCCGATTACCAAACAAAAAAAAACGAGATGCGACGGTACAAGAAACTCGGTCCGGTGGGGTACAATCTGCGAACTTCGGTTTCCAGCATTTGGTGGTCTTTGCTGCTGAAGGGCAAGGCCTCAGTCGTTCTCGATCCCTGAGGTCCACTGGCTTTTGGCTCGAGCTAAACTCACTTAGTCACTTAGTCACTCCCTTAAAGACCGACTCTTCATCTGCACTGTATCTCTTATGGCGCCAAACTTCATACCTTCAAAAGAGAGGCGAACATAGGTCAAATCTTGATGCGACCTGTTGAGGTGTCGATCTGAGGGAAGAATGTTTTGTACAAGAAGCTACTAGTAACAAGTGCATCGCTTCTAGCAACAAGTGCCTTACTAGTAGTAACAAGAACGCTACTAGGAACAAGTGCCACGCTAGTAGTAACAGGTGCCTTACTAGTAGTAACAAGAAGCTATTAATTTAAATTCAATTTATTTATTTTTAATTCTAGTAGCTTCTTGTTACTACTAGTAAGGCACTTGTTACTACTAGCGTGGCACTTGTTACTACTTATGCGTAGACGCCATGCTCCGTTCACTTCTCGGAACTAAGTCCCGACGCACCATCGGGGCAGCACATGCTTCCCCAACACTTCACGTTCCTCGATACACTAAAAACGCTTTCACTTCCAGATGCGAACTACAGATACCTTTGTTCTAAGACGCTTACACTTGCCTCTAAGATGCCTCTTGATACTTTTGTTCATTTTCATATTTGAATTGGCCAGAAGTAAGACTCGGCATCGCTACTAAAAGCAAGAACGCTACTAGGGGCTCCTGGCATCGCTACTAAAAGCAAGAACGCTACTAGGGGCTCCTGGCATCGCTGCTAGGAGCAAGACGCTACTAGGGGCTCCTGGCCGTAGTACTAGTAACAAGAAGCTACTAGTAACAAGGGCATTACTACTAGGAGCAAAGGACGCTACTAGTCAAAATTCCTCGGAGTCTCAGCTTCAGCTTCGCTGCTCCGGTCCGAGCTCCAGGCGCGTCAGCGCACTTCACACGCTCACCGACCTCTCCGAGACAGACCGAGAGAGACCCTGAGAATCCTTCTAGCGATGGCCTCCAACCAAGTAGCGTCCTTGCTACTAGTAACTAGTAGTAATGCCAGAAGCGCCCCCAATAGCGTTCTTGCTCCTAGTAGCGATGCCCTTGTTACTAGTAGCGATGGCCTCCGACCTAGAGAGACACTTCTTACACGACACAATGCACTTCTGCTCTTTAGGTTCGATGCTCGAAACGACACCCAGCCTGGCATTGCTTTTCCATTTTGTACTTCACCACTTTCTTCTTCCCAAGGCCTGGGATGAGGGACGACCGAAAAAATGCAAAAAGAACGCTACTAGGAACAAGTGCCACGCTAGTAGTAACAGGTGCCTTACTAG